TTTAATCATTGGGACTCCTCCCCAAACACCTACAGTGGCCTCAGTCGCCCAACTAAGCAGTGGGTGAGCATCACTTTGTTGGTAGCAAGGAGATGTATTTTGCGGGAGTGGTTATCATCTCTTCCTCCCACTATTAAGAGATTGCAAGACGACTTATTACACCTGTTCCACCTAGACAGACTAGATGCTTCTCTGCACTTGCACAATGAATCGGGGGTGACCAAGTTCTATGACAGGTGGCTCCCATATATTGACTTTACCTTCTCTTGTACCGAAAAGGAAAACCTGCTTTTGCCCTTTGCATTCTCAACATGTCGTCTACTTGATAAACTTGATAAGCTACAACCCCGCCAACTGGACACGGGATAAGATATTTAGATAAGGATATTTAGATAAGAAGCTTTTCGTCTACAGGTCTTACTAAGGTGGGGTTTCACTACTCTGACTGTACGCGGCCATAACATAAAATGGAGCGAAGGAAAGGAGGAAATGAGGAAAGGTTTACAAGTTTACAAGTTTTAAAATTAAAAGGTTGCGTTTATTACGCTCACCAGTTGCATTATGTTAGAGTTATTGTAGCTGATAAGTTTATTAATGAAAAGGCTATCTCCTGACCGGCATTGTATGTGGATCAACATATTACGACCTTAGTCTCCTAGGGCTCTAGGAGACCTCACTACGGTTACCCAGACTTTATGATTCTATGACCTCATATATGACATGTTATGTCTAGATCCTTTTTTTTTTTACCATACAATGTAACTCTGTTTTACGTATTACAAACTTATTGTATCTGTGCCTTTTTTGAAAATAATAAAAATGTTATTTAAAAAAAAAAAAAAGACAGAAAATGGGTCACACCCAACTAAATAATCTAGCTAAAACAACTGCTTCTCCCTGATCCAATATGGTACAGGTAAAGCACTGCATGGGTACTATGCAATCCCACAGAAAGTGATTTTACACATTTCGCAACGCACCTCCTGCAGCAAAATTTGTCAGGCCAAAACTGAAAATGACTTTCCCTACATATATTTTTTTTTTTAAACAATTGTATGCATTATATATTAGACATTTTAATTAGGTTTTTAAAATATCCAATAGCAGGCTGGGTATGGCTCTCAGCCTCTAGATGGAATGGAGGCACAGGGGGAACAGAGGAGGAACAGAGCGGGCAGAGGAGGTAGGGGGCGCAGTGGAGGCAAGGGGGCAGTGGAGGAACGGGGCAGCAGCGGAGGTGCAAGGTAATGCAGTCACAGCGATTTCTCCTGCCCGCTGGTTCCGGCTGCAGTGATCCGTGTTTCCGCTGCCCCTGCCGAAACAAGTGGGGAGAGCAGCGAGGATTGAAAGGGGCACAGACCGCTGCAGCCAGCACCAGCGGGGAGAAGAACGGAGAAGCAGAGCGGCAGCAACTCATCGAAAATCAACTAATCATTGCAAACGATTTTCAATCGATTATAATTGATTTGATTGATTAGTTTTTGCAGCCCTAATGATATAGACTGGATTCATACCACATCCCGCTAATTCAACTTTAGTTTAGAAATCGGATATGTCTCGTCTATGGCAAATTCCTGCATTGGTACATTGTTCTTCCTCAAAACTCCCTAACAATGTAAGCACCAATATACTTAGAGATACTGTGACTGCTTGGAAAGAGCCTAGGAAGTATTTGAAACTCCCTCCACACTTTTCACATTTACCCATGCAGAGTAACCACTCATTCTCTCAGGGTAAAGAACACCCTGTTTCTAAAGTGACACTAAACTCCGGAAGTAAACCTTAAAAATGCATTTAAGTACTTTAAAGGAGAACTATGGGGTCAGGGCTTTTCCCCATAGTTCTCCTTTAACTATTAACAAAAATTTACCCTATTTGTGTATCACTCAGCTGTAGATCCTCAAATCATCTCTGAATTCATGCTGACAATGTTCTTGCTTCTGGAGGGTGGCTACTTTTATTCTGTATGATCCCCGTTTGTGTTGTAAAGTAGCCACCACTCCATGTTCAATCCGGTGATAGACTGTAGCTTCAATACAAATTGGTAAACTAAATGTGAGATTGTAGTTCATCACAGGAGTGAGCTTGGAGCGGTGGCTACGTTACAACACACACAGGGACCATGGAGAATAAAAGTATTCACCCTTCAAAAGGAAGGACAGTGTCAGTATGAATTCAGAAATGATTTGAGGATCTACAGAAAGAAGATACATTTTTGTTAATAGGGTACTTGAATGCAATTTTAAGGTTTAATTCCTGATTTTAGTGTCACTTTAAACTCTGAGCAACCAAGGGTCTTACCCATTTTTACCATCTTTTCAAGGAGGATTCAACTAGGCCCTACTCTTTCACAGATCTGCACTGAATTTAACATACCCCCTGGGAAACTATCTACACTTCTCCCAAATTTCTAGTTACTGGAAAACGGTCTCCAAAAGTCCCACTTCAGGCACCTACAGGTAATTCCTTTGACGCTTGCCTACATACTCCTGGTCTTTCCATTTCTACTATCTACTCCTTTCTAAGGCTTTATAGGATCTCTTTAAATCCGACGTGTCGGGATGGGCACGAGACATCCCTAAAGAGGATATAGTCTAGGAAACTCTGGAGGGACAGCACTTCAGAAAAGTGGTAGTAAATGGAGAAAGGGGTGTCTCATTATTTCACTGCCTATGGTCTTACATTAAAATATGCCACTTCTGGTCCAAGTTGGTTTCCCATTTAGCAGATTTACAAGGAAAATCTATTATGAAGGACCCTATGTGGCTTATCTTCAGCTATTAGGGTGACAGACCTGTATTTAGACATACCAACCAAATATATAATTAATTCACATTTGTTTGCTAGCTGCTAGAAGGAGCATAATGAGAGAATCCCTCCATTATTGGTGGACTAATACGAAACCTGAGACACATGCTGTATATAGAAAAACTGGGGTTATATGTGACTCCTTTTACTCTCCCCTCTTCCATTTACAAAACGCCCTGTATTTGGATTACAGAATACAAAGCATTCTGTGAGTGGACAAGGGGATAGCCTGTCATTTACCCACCCCTTCTCCCACTGTCTATTTACAGAATACCAGAAGAGCGCTGTGGGTAAAACTTGGCATGAATTAAACTGATTTGTACACTCCAATAGTTGTAAATCACAATGGAACGCTTCAAAGCAATGCTGCATATTAGGGATGCACTGATACCCATACTTACCCTCGTTAACGGAACTTCCAGTCAGAAGGAGATTTCCTCTGACCGGCAGTGCCGCTTGGCAACATGGAGCCAGCTTCCGGGCCAAATCAGGAAGCTGGGCGGCCTGGCCTCATGATTGGCCAGGAAGCCGGCTCCATGCTAGCGGAAATACCAGTATCGGCGAGTACCGAAAGATAAATATTGATACTCGTACTTGATACCGAAAAACCGGTATCGGTCCATCCCTACCGAACAGCACACCTACAGTATCTGGTAAATGTAATAACATGCAGCCAAAAAAGGTGTTTTATGTTTGAACCATATATTTTACCCACATTGCATTCAGTTGTTTGCTTTTAATATTCTGCTTACCTAGGGATTCTTCATCCTCACTGCTGCTCTCTAGAAATCGGGTGTCCATTTTGAATCTCTCATCTGTTCCGAAGCGTGATTGCAACTGCATTAGCTGCACAATTACAGGCAACGAAAGAATAAATCAAAATAAGGATGATGGAAGAAAGGTTTAATAAATTAACCACAAAATAGACAAAGTATTTTGTTCACTTAAAAAAAGGATGGATACTGTGGCTAGATCAGGGTTGGACAAATGAATATGAAATTCAGCAGCCAGTCTGTCCAATCCAAGAGTGAGCTCCATTGACAACCAGAAAAAACGTCAAAAGTTAGAAACGAGCTGTAATTTTTAAGGAGCATTGAGTACCTGACTCCTGGGATTTGTCCAGCCTTGGGCTAGAAAATGAATGTGAATCTGGCTGTGAAGGGCAATACAGACAGACATTGGTAGTTACAAGTAAAAAAGAGTTGCCATCCCAGAGTTAATTTTTTTTTTTACAGTTTTCATTGCCACTCACATTGCTTTTTAGCTAGATCTGCAAAAACAGGCTCACAGGTGCACATTGCTTTATCATCCATTCTTCAGAATTTTAGACAAATATATACTGACCTTCATACCAGACCTCCCTTCATATTGAGCCTTTATTTCAAATCTTGTATCTTCTTTGTCTTCATTATCAGAATCTTCTTCGCTGCTACTGAATAGCTTAGAAGTGTCTTGTTTTTCTTTCTACATGAAGAAAATGCTTTATAGTTATAGAATGTATGATATGATTGTATTAAAATTATACAAAAAAAGTGGCCAGAAAAGTCTTACATAGTCAGCATGCATGCTTTTTATTTCACTGGTACTTGCTTTCTCTTCCTTTTCACTTTCCGACTCAGATTCAAACACAATATGCTTTTTTGAAGACCGGGAGTCCTGAATTATAAGACAACATATCAACAAGAGATATCAACAAGAGGAGTAAACTAATGGTCTCTATCAAATTCAGATAACATTCATAAATGGTACAATTAGCCACATACTGTACATTACATGATGCTTAAACAATACCCCCAGTTCTAAACAACATCTAATGTGTATGGCTGGTCTTACAACAAATTCAAAATGTTTTCCTTAAGGATTATAGCTTAAACATAGCCTGCACCTATCAGCGTAACATTCATGTATAGCTCAGTCACTAGAGTGATCCTTGGTTTGGGGGGTGCACTGTGAAATTTCTTAGTATTTATTTTGACCCTAAAACAATAACCAAGAACTTTCGACCATAAGAGAATAGACCCTAAGAAAATTGCCCTTATTCACAACAGCTACATGCACAGAATTAAAAGAGAACTATGGGCTAAGTGTTTTTCCCCATAGTTCTCTTAAGGGTCACGGGAGGATGCTAGTTTAAGAGAACTATGGGGAAAAACAACTCACGGGATACCGAGACCGCCTGAGCAGAGACGGATCCCGACATTAGTGTCGAGATCCACCCAGCTGCGTGAGTGACAGCTGGCTCTGCCCATCTAGAGGCAAAGAAAGCTGTACCCGCCCCCTCCCCCGTCTGTTCCTCCAGCCAGCGTTGGAGGATCGGAGCGGGAATGGGGAAATCCCTGCAGGGAGCCGTGACTAACAGTCACAGCTCTCTGCAGGGGAATGATCGAGAAGTGAGCGAGTGACGTTGTGTTTGCTCATTTCCTGATCTATTGAGCAGACATGCGAGTTTCATTGTCACACGTCGGCTCGGACTATGAGAATGAGTGATTTTCACTCACCTCATAGTTCTCCTTTAATGTACATGAGTTTTATTGGAGAAATAGCTATGACATTTGTATTATAACAAGACCAGAAAGTGTTAGAAGTATACAGGAAACTTTCTTCTTCACTCAAAAGTATATGATTAATAAATTAATCCACACGGTAGAGTGATGTGTCGCTAACACCTAACTGGATAAAAAAAAAATACATTTTCACTTGATAAAAAAAAAGTTAACTTTGGCCATTCAGGTCTCCCTTCCCAAACATTCAGGTGCCCATTGCTCTAAAGTAGTGGTGGTGAACAGAAGCTGTAACTCCAGTCAAACTGTTGTAAAGTGTCAGCCCACGACTGTTACATGATCAAGCTCAGTGGTAGAGGCTAGGTCTGTGCAGATATGTAATCTCTCAAGCGTGGCAGCCTGAGGGGGTAAGGTTGACTGTTTTAATTTTTAGCAAAGGTTGGTATTTGCATTTGATTATTCATACTAGTATCCATGTATAGAAGGCATATATTAGTTTGATCCCAACTCAACCTATTACTGTATTTTATACAAAATTTCCATTGTCATTGTTGCCGCAGTGTAAAAAACACCAACAAAATTGTATTGCCAATTGCTGTTAAAAGCACATTTCGTTTTCTAAAGGGTGTATACATTAGGCTGAATTACTGATATGAATAAAGGGCTGAGTATCTGCAACAAAGTCTTACCTTTGGGTACCATCAAATAAGAATCTTGCAAAAGCATTACCCGCAGTTTAGTTTTTTTGTATGTTAATATTGTGAGGTCATTTGTTGGGCATGTATGTCCTTGTGCATGTGATGGTCCCCTAAGCTGTCTCTGCAAAAAGAGTTTGTGACCTGGGCCTAACCATTTGTGTGAAGGTGGTTGGGTGTGCAGGAAGCATATTGAATGTGGTGGCCACGTCTCGGGCGGTGAAGAAGGTGCAGCTGGGCAGGGAATTTGTGATAAAGATGGTTCAGCTGAGAAGTGAATTTGTGTTAAAGAAGAGCAGCAGAGCAGTGCATTTGAGCTAAAGAGCGTGCTGCACACATGAACTAAAGAAGCTAGGAATAGATAGTAAAAGTTTGCATTTAAAAATCTCCAGTTAAAATGTATATCCGACAGTGCAGCCTACATATGAAGGTGCGGCTTTGTCGCCTACCCTTGGACTTTTGACTTGCCTGGATCTAAAGTGATAGCAATTAAGTTTATCAGCCAGTAAAACCATAGTATTGCTCCGGTATTCCACCATTTTCAAATTTTAAACATTACATTGAAGAAAAAAATAAAACAACACACACACCTAAAAAACTGATCCTACACCTTGGCAGATACCAAGTTAAAATTAAAGTATAGGGCATCTATACTAGGGCAATTCTAATTTAAATAAAAGCAAATGTAAAAAATATGTATGCTTACCAGTTGCAACAGAGCACCTTGGATAATTTGTTTCTGTAGTTCACGCTCTTTTCTCCGCTCCATCATTGCTACCAAACGCTTTTCATTATCTTGCTGCTGTTTTACATTTGTTGGAGGCTGCTCCATCTTTTTACCAATCTGAGAGATACCAGGTTTGGGAGCTGATGATGAGGTAGCGTTTAAGTCACTCTTGCACTCCTCACTATGATCACATCTATTTTTTGATTTTTCCTTAAGAATTATCTGTTTGAGATCTCCGGAGGGTTCTTGTGTATCCGCTTTCTTTGTTTGTTTACTAGCATAACTACTTACATTTAAGTCACTGCTGATCTTTGGAACAGTTGCAGTCTGCGCTTGTGAATTTATGGTGGCAGCTGAAGCCAACACAGAACTCAGGCCTTTAAATTCTGGAAGTTTCACATGAGCATCGTTCTTTTTTTGGTTTGATTGCCGACTACTGCTACTGTCCTCTTCTAAAATGGAAGCTACTATATCTTCTGGTTCTATGCCACTCTTTTTATTTTTCTTAACATGTTCAGATCTTGGATCCTCTTTGCTCTTGTTTGCTTCTCCTTTTAAACCTTTAGCTCCTTTTTCCAGTTCATGGTTATTAACAAGAGACTGCGATGCTCTAGGCGATTTTGGTTCAATTTTTACATTCTCTCTACTACAGTTTTTATTTAATGACTCATAATGTTCATCAAAATCAGAATTACTGCTGTCTGACTCCAACACTCTTTGTAGGCTTTCAGTTTTCATTTTTTTCTTAACACCTGTTGATGTCTTTTGTTTCTTCTCTGGAGCAGGTAATTTTTCACATCCTAAAGCCGGTGGATTTTCAGCATCATCATAACCCTGTTTTGCATTTATATCATCATCAGTGTCATCATATTCGCCATCATTCTCAACTGTATCATTAGCATCATCATTTTCAAATTCATTAGCTTCTTTCGCTAGTGTTTCCAAATCCCCCATTGTCAAATTTAGTTTAAAGCAGTTCTGCATCATAGCTTTATATTCTTCATCTGAGTAACAACTGCTGCTGTCGTCTTCAGAGGCACCAGTATCACTGTCTGAATCTGGCTTACTCATCTTGCCATCCTTGGATTTGCATTTGCCCCTTGTGCCATGTGTGGTCCCCTCTTGTATTTTCAATGGATTAAACTTTTCACTTATCGTTTCATCTTTGGTTGTTTTAAAATTATCACAACTTTTCTGGACTTTCTTTGCACTTGTGATTATTTCATCAGTATCAGCAGAATCATACTCACTGTCATCTAGGGTATCACTGGTAGAATTCATCTTTGCTGCAGCTTTCCGTTTTGCTTTGTGTGTTGTGTTATTGAGCTCAAAAGAGTCAGCTACTACCTCTATAGTAGAATCTTCTACATAGTTAACACTCGTTCTAGCTGCCCTCTCTCTCTCAAGAACAGATTGGAGCTCATCCTCCGAGTCATACTCCTCAGTCATGCTGCTGGTACTTCTGTTCTGTAAATGCAAAGGTTTTTTGCTATAAAGGCATGTTTTTGTGTCAGACTGCCTTCCATCTGTTTGTATAGATGCTAAACGAACTCTTTGATCTGTTTGTGTATCATTCGCAGCATTTATAGGTACATTTTTAAGCTTCTTTTTTGGAGGCGGCGTTAGTTTTGGAAACTCCCCTCTGCGTTTTCTACTGATTTCATCATCTCCTCCTTCCAGCTGCCAAGTTAACTGGGAAACGGGTACAAGCTCAAAAGTGTTGTCTACCTTTTTAATATTATGACAATATTTTGAGGGGTCATATTTCTTGATGTTGAGGTGAGTTAAGGAACAGTATGAAATGTGTGCCCAGCATAAAATTAGGAGAAACAATCAAAGAAATATTATTATTATTCTACAGAATTTATGTAGCGCCAACAGTTTGCACAGCGCTTTCCAAATGGAGGGAGATAACACAGTTACAATACAAGAGGGTAAGGAGGACCCTGCTCGCGAGAGCTTACAATCTAGAAGTTTCCATTTAGAAACAACTGTAGACTCCTATATGTATATATACTAACTAAGCTGTACTAACTGGCCATGGCTTATAATTTTAAAGTAAGCCTGTCATGAGAGAAATTTGGAGTCTGTCAACTTACTTCCAAAAATATTTTTTGCTTGACTGTCATGCCGCTAAACTAAGTTAATGCTTTCCATGTCACTAACTAGCAAAAAACATATGCAGAGTAGGATAAGCTGAGAATTTCAAAAGGCCTATTCTGCTTGCTACAAGTCATCAAGCATATTACACATACATCATATTCCACCTTTCCAAACTATAAATGCTGATGCCACCAAATAGAGTGTATAAAGGAAGGCAAAAGGAAGCATAGTGTTACATCACAACATATGCAATCCCTCCTCCTTCCCTCTAATAGTAACCTTTGTATAAAGTGTGTTGCCTTATAAATCTGCCTCCAAGCAAGTTGTTAATGCTGGCCTTTCAGCTTTGAAAACCCGGCCTGACATGACAAAAAAAAAATAGGTATATTAAAATAAAAAATATGCATAAAAATTAGATTTTTGTCTTTCTGGTTCCTTGTTCCTCTTTCATTTTCTTGAAATGCATTATAGGACACAGGAGAAGTATGCAGGAACATTGGGACATGCAAAAGCAGTTCAACTGAGGGGTTGGCAACACAGTAAACAAAAGGTTATCAGGCCCACAAAAAAAGGTTACCAAAAGGTGGCCCTAAAAAGCCTACAGAGCTGCCTAAGAACCTTACAATGGAACAGCATCAACTGAGATCTGAACATCCACATGGTAAAACTTAAATGTGTTAACAGAAGACCAGGTGGCAGCATAGCAAATTTGAGAAACTGGTGCCTAATGTTGAACACAAAGTACTAACTAATACAATGGACTGTGCTTTGACCAGGACAGGGGGAACCATGATCCTAAGGTCATAAGCTTGAAGGATGAGCTGTTGAATCTACCTAAAGTGGATGAAAAGCAGGCTGTCCCTATGGGAACCTTCATGTATGGCAAACAGTCAGAATGTCAAAAACATTCTGGCAGAGGGATAAACTTAAAATAGTGCATACCACTTTCAGACATTGGATGAAAAGGGATGTTTAGGAGCAGGACAGAGACAGTACAAACGTTCTGGTAAAAGGTGTAGAGAGGAAACCACTTTGGGAAGAAACTGGGATAGTTTGGTGCGATAAGGATCACCGGAATGCCTTCCATCTGGATCCTGTGGCGTAGGCAAGGAAGATTTACAGGTCTATTTACTGGGAGGGTGAAGGGTTTGGAGAAGGCAGAATAAGTGAAAAATCTAAACCAAAATAGCTGATTTGGATAAATTTCCAATTAAGCTCACTTCCCAGTTCAGCTATGTTGTCCTAGATTGTTCACTTCTCCTGCCTTCTGCAAAACATCCAACTCAGAGACTCCCCTCACAGAAGTGATGGCAATGAGAAAGACTCAACAGAGGAAACTCCCAGATAGGTTCGAAGGATGGTCTTTGAAGATATGACAGAAACACGTTGAGAGTCACTAGGGAACAACACCCTGTATGAAGGCCTTCACTAAGGAGTGAGTAGCGAGTGGTCCACAAGGCCAAACACGGATCCTACAGACTGCCGAAAAGACAGTATTTGTCCCACTGAGAACTTTCTGCGATGGAAATTCCTTGTCTCGCACCAATCGAAGTGTGCTTTCCAAGTGCAATTGTTCACTGCAAAAAGTTATTTTCCCTCAGGACCTGGGCCTTAACATCCAAGCTGTTAAAGCCAGCAACCAAGAAGCAGGATGGCAAACCGATCCCTGGATCTGGGAGGGCCCCAGAAAGAATGCTGGGACTCCGACTAGATCCAAGTACCACGTCCTACTGGGATAGTTTGGTGCGATAAGGATCACCGGAATGCCTTCCATCTGGATCCTGTGGCGTAGGCAAGGAAGATTTACAGGTCTATTTACTGGGAGGGTGAAGGGTTTGGAGAAGGCAGAATAAGTGAAAAATCTAAACCAAAATAGCTGATTTGGATAAATTTCCAATTAAGCTCACTTCCCAGTTCAGCTATGTTGTCCTAGATTGTTCACTTCTCCTGCCTTCTGCAAATTGTTCACCCTTTAGTGAATAGCCCTGTCAGAAAGCAAAAGGTTGATCAGGTTGAAGTCACCAGAGCATCCAATGTCAAGATTAGAGGATCCCTAGTCCTGAAGACAAATCTGCTCAGTTTGTTGTTGAACCTGAAAGGCAGGAAGTCCATGTCTGAAGTGCTCCATCTGTGACAGAGAGCTCGAAACATCTCTGGATGAACAGACTATTCTCCGGAGTTGATGACTGAGGGAGGTCTTCTACCAAATTTCCTCACCTGGGATGTGAATGATGGTTAGGACTAGAGCATGACGTTTTGCCCAAGTCAGAATCAGGTCTGCTTCTCATAAACAGTGAGACATTTTGCTGCCTCCCTGAAGGCTGATGAACCCCACTGCTGTGGCATTGTCTGGTCTTTGGAGATTTAGGATCCACCCGAATCTCTGGAAGGCGTGCACAGTCCAGCAGACATTGTTTGACAAAGAAAGAGCCAATTGTTTCTTCAGTAGAAGGTTGTCCAGCTATCCCACTATGGAAATACCCAGAGAGAACAAAGCAGTGCGAGAACAGATGCCAGCAACTAGGTGAAAATCCAAGGTGCAGTAGACAGGAAAAAAGGGAAGGACGACAAACTGGTAAGGTTGCATGCCCACAGCAAAACATGATGTTTATGCACCAGGAAGATGGCGATATGCGAGAATTCCTCCAGAAGGACTCCTAGATGGAGGAAGCAGTGACTGACCGAGAGAATTCCAAAAGGGAATTTTAGAACTCAAAGAAATATATGAAGAATCTTTAGATCAAGTATGGGGTAGATGTCTCCTTTTGCTTTAGATATGGTAAACAGATTTAAATAGAAACCCTGGAACCTCTCCCCCTTAGGGACTATGGCTATGACCCCTTAAGTTAGGAGCTGCTCTAGAGCAGTGTGAAAGTCCGCCAATCTTTGTGGAAATGTGAGCAGGTTGGACAATGAAACCCGGTGGAGGCATACACAGAAATGTTAGATGTAGCCCTTGTATATAACACCCCCCAGAGAAGCTTCTTGCACTGAAGCTCTGCAGGCTAACAATTGAGCCAAAGGGTCCATATGCACCGAAAGGAAGCCTGAATATTCGGTGAATAATATCTGCAATCCATTAGCACACAGGGCAATGGGCGGGATCTCCAGTTGTAGTGGACAGAAGGTTCCGTCAGTGTAGAACCAGAATCCAGCGATATGGCCTTAGGCCAAACAACTATCATTTGGCAGATGGATATGGTCACAATGTCAGATTGCATGGCAGGGCCAACAAGAGAAAACATGGCTTTAGGTAGGGCTTTCAGCCTTTTATCCATAGGAATGTCTAGAATGTCCTCTTACAAGGACAGTTAAGGTCTTGTTAACCAGTTGACATCCGCGGTGTTAAACCCCCTTCCCATCCAGGCCATTTTTCAGTATAATTTTTTCAGTAGGAGTCAATACACAAGGTTTTAGCTGGCCGAGGCATCTTCAGAGAGTACAGGCTGGTAAGCCTTGGCAAGGTACCATCCTCATCTTCCACAGGAGAAGAGATAAGCCAGATCTATGTGTGGGTGCTATGATGTACACATACACAAAAGGAGGCGGCACAGACTTTGTTTGGGGGCCAGGCCAAGAACCCAGCAAAAAATGGCACCAAATATGAAAATGGTACTGATCCTCTCCCGCTGCTGGCTTGTGACCATGACCACTAGCCAGGGGTCCACAGTTTAACACCTAGCTGACTAGAGAAACATGCTACCAGGAAGGGCAAAGGCCCTAACTTATCTCAGGACAGTTCCAACAAACAGATAATTAGGAACAAGCCCTTTCCAGCAGTCTTCACCCTGCTGGTTGGCATACTCCCTAAGGAGTCTTCAGGGACAGGATTTTACCATATGGGTGTACCACAGCCCTGGACCTCTAGAACACTCTGAGGCTAACTCAACATGGTGCATGCCTAGTTAACTGCATAATACAAGGTTCAGTTCAGAGGTCAACATTATAGGCCGGCCCAGCTTAATTTTCCTGCTGGGGTCCGTATACAGCCCTCAGGGCAAAGCTGGGTAGCTGCCAATACAGAACAGCAAAAATGAGCCCCAGTGGCTCTGCAGCAACTAAAGGATCTTCCTAGTAGAAAAATATCTTGATTTAAAAAAAAATATCTTGATTTAAAAAAAAAAAAAGGAAATAATTTGCTTCTCTGAAGCAGTAAGATGTCCATTCTCCTAAAGACTAGCACAAAAACTGAGACATGCCGAGAGAGAGAGGGGTAATACTAAGCTAATACTTTTAGTGAAAAAAACAAAACAAAAAAATCACTAAAGATTGAATTTAATCTGTCCAAAGTCAATTAAATGGTCTAGAGCACAGGTTGCCAAAATTCTGCCCTCTAACTGTAGTGAAACTACAAATCCCATTAGATACTGCAAAACTCTCACAGCCACAGGCATGACTTCCGGAGGCAGATGCATGATGGGATTGATAGATTCACCACAGTTGGAGGGCCGAAGTCTGGCTACCCCTGGTCTATAGGGTAGAAAGCCAAAACATGAAACTATCTATCTTTGTAGCTTCACTTCACTTAAAATATTACTGCAAATCTTTTCTATTTTGTGCAAGCACAATTTCATGTACATCACCCGATAAATTTCGGTGGCACCGGACAAAAAAAGGAAATGGCAGTTTCGCATGTAAAGGATATTTTGCTTTGCTTTTTTTCATTTAAATATAAAACAGGCAGGACTCTTCCAAATTTGCTCACTACCCAATTCTAAAACAAGAAAGAGAAGAAAAAAAAACAATCAATTTTAATGCACAAGATTTGAGTCAGTGCTGAGAGTAAAATTACAACTACTAATATACTGCATAACAAAAAATATTACAGAGCAGTCAAAAATAAAAGAACCACATTAACAAGGAAGCTTTTCTATAAAACCACATAATGCAAGTCATTGGTTATAACAATTTAAATTGTATGCCCTGCTGTAAAATCCACAAAGTTTATGTTCTAAGGAACCTTTTACAATTTTATGCTAGCCACTGTCCTCAAATTTAGTTTGGAGATGAACAGAGAAATTCATTGATTTCCACTAAACAGCTGCTGGCTATTGTATTCAGAAGCCGCAGCTCCAGTGGGTGCAGATTACGCAAATAGTGCATGCATCTGACTAGATGCATGTGCCGTTTGGCTGAAAATTTTCAAACCAGGTCCTTTGGCAAACGGCAAGGCCACCCACCGCTTGAATTCAGGCTGGTTCATCACTATCAATACGTTCTAAGAATTCTGCTTATTCATAAATCCCCCACCCCCCTGCAGTTCTAAAGTAGCACTGTGACAAAATTAAACCTGCCCTGACAACTTTTTAATTATACATCTGTCGGTAGCGAAAATCTGTCCCACTAGGGTACTAAATCTGTTGCAGACCTTTACAAATGTTGGGTGGCTGATCAGGATTCCAGGCACAGGGATTTCAAACACCTACACACTTTAAGAAATGAGCAGCCTGATTTATGTCCAATTGTGTTGCTAGTTTGCTTGATAAGTGTCCTGTGTAACATTGCCTTATTGCGCTAGAATTTATAAAAGTCCCCCACCGTAATTGGTTGCTACAATGTATCTGCATTTGTTTACATTTCTACAAAACACTGTTGCTCTGATCACCAGAGCACTGAAATAGTTCCTAATGGCAGGTCCAATATACAAAGCAGGATCCCAGATGTTAAACTGACAACAGGTTCAGGTAGCAACACCCATGTAGCTCACCAGGAAGGACGGACTCACTTATTCCCACAAAATCACTAACACTTTGCTTCCAGGGCAAAATGACCGTGACTGTCTAAAGCCAACTCTCAACTACAGATATTCACCTCTCCAGTGATCTCCGGAAAACTCCTTCCTCACTCACTGCTAAATCTCTAGAACTCCCAGGTATGGGGGAGCATGTGAACTCCTATAATGCAGTGTTAAGGGGCCTAGTGGTCAATCTTCAGTTCCGACAACTGTCACATGATACAGGGTGTAATAACACTACTTCCTTTAGGCATTAACAAGCAGGTCTTTTGGGAGCAGCTAGGAACTGGCAGGGAATCGCTACAGAGTGCCATAAATGGGCAAAGTGACAGCGTCTGTAAGTGGTTAATATGAGAAAAAAAAATAAAAATATTGAGGTTATCGGGTTACTGTAATTGTAAACCACTAACATGCTGTCAGTCTTGTTTGACAACTGTATCAACTGGATGATGACTTGCCTTGTGGTTTGGCACTTCAGTGCCTGGTACAGCAGTTTTCATCTGGAAATCTGTAACGCCGGCTTTCTCTAAAGACAGCACTAGGTCATTTTTTGAGCTTCGTTGTGCATTGGCTTTTTCCTTCTCCTTGGCTTTTTGTCTCTCTTCTGAAAGCCTGGATAAACCAAAAGGCAAAACGCTAATGGGCTTATTCAGTAAAGCAGTAATACATTCAGTTACCTGTAATAAGATTTTAGTCAGACCAACTAAGATTATTTTTGATTTATCGCTAAATGTGTCAAAATAACAATGTAAGAAGGACAATGCCTCAAAGCACTTACAGAAAAAAAAATGTGTAACATAAATTTCTGCTACCCCTGGATTGACTTCCTTATTACACTATTATTCAGCCATTAATTCTGGCCTAGCACTCAATTTCCACCAATACATTTTAAAATGGCAGCAATCCTTTCTAGCACAACCAAGTCGGAAAAAAACATTCCGAATCAAAAGCAAGCCTATAAAATGAGCCTTTGAAGTGCTAGTGCTCTAGTAGTTTAGAGGCTGTTTGCAAAGCCCACACCATTCTTTTTATCCTAAAACTTGCTTCTGTGGCTGAATAATGGATAAAGATATGCTCCATATTTGGAGAACTAGTCCACAGATAACTATATTCTGGACTAGAGGCTAATGTACACATTAATCGCATAATACTGTGTAAAGACGCCTGGTGGGGTATTTTAAACCTCCAGCGAACAACTTAATCAAACATCAACAAATGTTAATTTTTATTTATTCTTCTGCAGACAAATTACCTATATCAATTGCCTGAAAACAAAAAAAAAAGTTTAAAAGCCAGCCTGTAACAAAAAAAGAAGTATACTTAACTGTCCAGTGGGCAGTGAGTGAGTTATTTGCGGGCTTGCAGGGCTCTTGCTGACACTGCTATCCAACACTTCAAGATATGTCAGATAGCATGTCCCATGTTAAGGTTTCTCTTGACATCTGCAAAATCATAGTTGTGTCCTGTAATGACAGAGCAGCAAGTTGGGGGGAACACACTAACCAACACAATGGAATGTGTCGAATAACTGGTGCCCAGAGCTCTGAAGATAGCAACGAATTCACTCATTGCCCGCTTGAAAGAGAAGCACACAACTGTCTGAAGAAAAAGTGCAGGAGTACATTCTCCCAAGATTTTAAGTACCCAGCTTTCCCAGGGGGCAGCGGTGAAGCAGTGTTGTCTCCAGTGCCTTCGGAAAGAGTCCAGGGGCCAGACTTCAAGGTTCAGTATTTTCTTCTCAAAATCATTTTTTTAAGCTTTTATTTTGTTTTTTTATTTAGGGGGTGTGGGTCTGCATTTAACAAACCAACTCTCTGAAAACAAAAGCAGCACAAGATAAAGGAGCCAGTTTAGACCATGGTCCATCTAGAAATATATGTTTACCTATGTAAAAAGCTTTCCTTGGCTATTTCAATTTGTAATGTTCCTCCCTTCCACTTTGTCTTGTTCAGAACAGACATGCCTAGGAAAAAAAAAAAAATTTGGAAATTAATGTTGATGATTGATTCTATAAATGATTGGCAGGACTATATTCAGAAATCTAAGAGTTTATGAAAATTTCTCAAGTCATCGAACTACAAATGTATTTGCCCATCTATGAATGCTAATGCTTTGCTTGGTCAGGTGAAAGGTTAACTGTACTGGTAGGTTAGTATTTATAAGCAGTGGTATGACCTTCCTACCGCTCAATAAAAAAAATAAAAAATAAAATAAAAAGAGAAGAAGAACAGCATTGTGCTTTACATGTGTATTGTGCTCCACTTGCTTCAGGACAAAGCAAGTGCAGTAATGTTCAAATAAGGCGAGTTTTTGTGACCTGTCAATGTCATGTGACTAGCAGCATTAAGCAGAGAGAACTCTATGAGACAACACACCATAGTTTATTAAATGCAGGCAGCAGTGTGAAGTAACAAAGTGGAGTCAAAAGGCTTTTACAGTAAACATGCTCTGTGCCAGGAAATAATCTGTACACAATACAAGTCATGCTCATGTATTCCTTTATCTGCCAGCGGGGCAGCTAAAACAAAAAGATATATAAAAAACGCAATATAGAAGGAGCCATACAGTGACAAAACACCAAGAAAGACAGGATTACTTTTAGCATTTGTACACACTTACATTTTTTCAGGTCCACATCTGAAATGTTGACATTCAGGTAAGCAAAGGTCTTTATGGCGTTTCCTAAAAATGTAAATTATATAAAGTATCAAGTATAAATAATTAACAAAACAAACAAAGAACATTTCTATGCTAAAAACAAGGTTCAAGAGATGTTTAAATGCATACAAAAACATGGGAGCAGGTGTTTTTGTAATCAAGAAACAATCAATACTGACAAGAAGAAACATGTTTCTGCTGTTACTGCTTTACAAACACAGTCTTATTCAACACTTAAGGTGCCCATACACTGCTCGATTCTCGTACGAGAATCGGGCGAAATCCCGCGATCGTACGAGAATCGAGCAGTGTGAACTAAGACGTGCGACCGTTTCTACTGTACGGTCGCACGTCTTTTGTCGAGCCAACATGTTCGAAAACCCGCCGAGAATCGTACGATTCTCGGTGGGTTTCTAGCCTGCTCGCCCGATAGATGCGGAACGGGCCGGTGTGCGCACGCGCACACTGCCCGTTCTGCATTGCCGTCATCGGAAGCCCGCCCCTCAGCGGGGCGGGCTTTCGATGATCGCAAGTACGATCTGCCCGTCCAAGGTGGGCAGATCGTACGGGCTTTCAAGAAGCATACGACCATCGCAAGACAAAAGTCTTGCGATGGTCGTAAGGTGTATGGGCACCTTTAGTCTTAAAAGAGAACTGGCTTTAGTGCTTTTTTTGGGTCACAGAAGGACATTTACTAATAAACCCATATGACCCAAAGTCAGCATCTAGCAAACTACTGCCTACTATTTGCTGACAGAGCAGAGCTGGGCTGCAACCAGGAAAGATCCTGACAATATTATCAGGATCCACCCTGCTACCTGATCGACAGCTGGCTTTGCTTTTCTACAGCTAGAGCCAGCTATGCCCACCCCTCCCGTCTGTCCTCCTCATGTGCGCTCGATGAACGGTCACCACTCTGTGCAGGGTGAAGACTGAGCTGAGGGATCAGCAGTTCATGATCGATCAACTCTCGATCTATAGTGCTGCCATGTGACACCTGCAGTGTCACATGGCGGTGCTAAGTATTGTCAAGAGTATATTATACTCTTCTGTTTGTGATGGTTGCTACATATTACTGTACTTATTGAATGCATCTGATTGTATATATTGGAAAAGGAAAAGGAGCTGTATATAAAATACAACACATCTCACTACTTTCAAAGTGCATTAATCAGGAGGTATTTTATTTAAACAATTTCAGGCATAAAGTACAACTGAGCTGCAAAAAGCTACCCAGGAAACAATGCATGCCATCATCTTACTTTAAAAACAGACCTGTGACTTGCCTATGACAAAGTAATAGGATTGCTATAATGCCTCTGTAGCTATACTCGCCTTTTCATCGCTCCCTAGAAGCAAAAATTCAGCCATCGAGAGCAAAGAAAATACCTGGTACTTGTGGCAAATGGAGGTATATGTGAATCAGTCCCCTTCCTCTGGCATAACAGTGATAGTCCTTGGCCTGGCCCTGTCACTTGGCAAGAAAGAGAGAGTCTTCATCAAAGTGTAAGCAGCGGGAAAGCGAAAGGCAGGTAGGTGCGACTGGAGAGTGGGACATAGCATAGGTTTGCTTTAATCTGCAGCCAATGCACACACAGACCACCATAGCTTCAGTGAGTACTTGTACTGTATAGTGCAGCATATTCTCTCTCTTGCCTGTATCGTCAGTCACATGGTGAGCAATGTGATTGTTAAAAATTTTACATCAGGCTTTCTGTATATTAAAAAGAGAATGTTCGTATATCACAAAGTAGGCATACTGAGATTCATAATACCAACAAAAGAGATGTGGGGGAAACTGGTGTGCTTCAACAAAGTTTGGATGAAAAGACTTAAGTACTAGGCCTGCAACAAGTAACCGATTTAAATCGATAATGAAAATCATTGTCATTCTCATTACGGATTATTTGATTCTGCAATTAGTTGATTTTGCTGGACTCATGGGCTGTGTGTCCCCTCTAATCCCCGCTGGTAGCAAAGACTCCTGCAGAAAGTGTCCAGCAGTGAGGAGAGCTTCACACCTAAATTTCTCTCTGCTCCCCTGTTCTCCTCCTCGCTGGGAGCCGCTGAAGACTGCGGTCAGTGTCCTCTTCGATCCCGCAGCTCTCCCCGCCTGTATCAGCAGGGGCAGCAGGGGACACAGACTGCTGCAGCAGGCTCCCAGCAGGGAGGAGAGAATCGCTGTCAGCCGCTGTGCCTCTGCATTTCCCCCCATGCCCCCTCTATTAACTACCAGTAGGTAGAAAGCCAGAATCAAGTCTCCCATCCAGCAGCTGGGAGCAATAGCCAGCTGGCTGTTGGCTATTTTAAACTGCAGCCACCCACTGCCTGCTGTCAATCAGCAGAGGAGCAGACCTAAACCAGAACTTTCTGGCTTAGAGTTTTTCAATTCAGATTATATTAAATCCATGAAACATACAATTATTTAAAACAAAACAAAAAAAAGTTAATGTACGTTTCGGCCTGACTAGTTCTGCTGCGGGATGTGCGTTGCAGTGCCATTCATTTCAATGGCACCATAATTGCGCCTCACGCCCGCACTGGAATGCGCGGTACTACAATGATGTGTGCTCCAGTGTGTAGCAATTGCAAAAAAATGTGCATGCAGCTTTATTCTGAAGCAAACTTATTCTGAAGCAAACTTAATCGTTAGTTGCAACCCTAATAAGTGCTAAGCAGGTATATTCTGCTCCCTGTATGCATTTCAAGGATTAATGAGGCCCAAGTTGACACACCACTCAATTCAATAACAATCGTCCCCTAGGATTATATGTGGATTTTAGGGATGTCCCGATACCGATATTAGCATCGGGGCCGATACAGGGCGCAGCCTGGTGTCAGTATCTTGCTAGTCAGCCCCGCTGGCTTTCAAAATACCTGAACAGTCTGATTGAATGCAGGCATTGTTCAGGTATTTTGAGATTACCTGAACATACGCCACTACAGGACACAGTATTGATGTGCAGATCAGCAAAGTGGGGGACGTGGAAGATTGACATTGCCTAAAGTGTCAGCAGTCATACTTGCTTCTTTACAGGTAACCCCTTTATTTGGTGGTTTTAAAGCAAGTTTAGAAGTTATACATTATTTTAGGAGCATCTCATACCTTGATCATCCTTCCTGTATACAATCTCCACATCATCGATTTTTCCAAATTTCCCAAATCTGTCTGCAAGTTCTGCTTTGGTGACCAATGGACTAATCCCACCGACATATAAGCGTTTTAATGTTGCCTCCATGATTCAGTCAAGATCCTATGGAAAATAAAAGCTACATTTGTAAACAGCATTACTGTATCATCCATATTACAAAGTGAGGCTGAGAAACAGCCCAGTGCTACTTGGAATCACACGTGGATGTCGACACACTTCTGCTTAATAACAGTTATGTTCCCCATGACAGCAATCAATACGCTACCATTGAAATGTATTGTACAACCGTAACAAACTAAGTAAAATAAAATCCAAAGCATGAAATTGTTCTTGTAAGCCACAACTCACACTCACATTGCACTGGTGTACTACAAAAAAAAGGCACCGAGCGGAAACATAACCTAGACTTTCACGTTCCGCTCTCAGTACTCTCCCACAGCTAAAATACTAAAACAGGTTTCGATACCCCAGAGAGTTACTCGTTCCTGGTAATCCGGTGATTATAACACCGTTAGCCTCGCCATAGAAAACTGTAAAGGATATTTTTTTCAATATGATATACGGAGAAAGCTTGCAGCCATACCGAAAACAGGAAGCTACGGTCCACAGACGGATTGACATCACGTGTATGTATTCCACTACACACGCTGAATTGTATCACCAGAGTTTAGCTGCACGTCACTTTACTAACCGGAAGGGAAGAAGAAAGCGAAGTACAAGTGACCAAAGCAGTCGTTTATCAGTGAGACGGGGACTCAAACAGCTAAACCCACATTTTGTGGTCTATATTTCAGTGACGCCTCCACTACTCCGTAATACAAATACATTTATCGTTCACTTTACATTATCAAAGCGTACGAGAGAAAAAAAAACTAGGAGCACATAATATTTAATGCGGCATTACTGGTAAAGTTCGACTGGTTTCCTCTTCCTTACTCCCCGGATACTGTGTGTTGCAGTCCACTACATTACAGAGTGCTGCAGATGAGCCCTTCCAATGGGGAGGTGGGAAGTATGGACCCCTATGCAGGTGTCCATGGGTGAAAGGCCACGGCTTCATCAGCTAAAGTCATGTTAGCTCACGTTTTTACTATTTTCAGCATGTGTTTCTATCGCATATCTACAACTCTCATTTGATTGTTCTTATTTACTAGTGTTTAGAGTGGAGCCTGGGCTTGGTGTGAACCCACTTTGGCCAAGCATACTCAAAACTGTGAGCCCAACTGCTCCCTCTCAAGCCATTAAAGCAGACCTTTACACTCAAAAAGCAAATTCTACCAATGGTGATTAATAATAACCTGTATGGTGATTAACCGCTTGAAGACCAGGTGTTTAGACCCCCTTCCTGGCCAGGCCATTTTTCAGTGTTCAGCGCTGTAATGTAATTCTTTTTTATGTGTAACTTAAACATTTTTGGGGGGGAAACTTTACATTTTTTTCCTATTTTTTTTTCACTTAACTTTATTGCTATGAGCTACTGCTCTAGTGTTGATCCAGTGAAGTGTGAGTTATTATCACTTTGGACCTGCCTGGGGTAGCCATAAGCAGAGGAGAGCTTCTGAAGCAATTGGAGCGTTGCAGCTTGATTGAACATGAACAAGCAAACGTCCCAAATAGATGTCCACTGCAATGCATCAATGCCTCAGTCCATTGTTTCCCCCAGGCAGGTAAAGTCAATCTGACAAATCTCTGCAGACCTCTCGCCCCTCTTGATTGTCCCAGTGGAGTACCTTTGCAGTGGCCACAGTTGCACTTCTCCATACACTGCCCAGTTTCCTATTATGGTATTTATCATGTCCATGGTTGGCCAAGTTCACCATGACAGGATCAAATAGAAGAATTGCAGCTACCTTTGTGATCTTATCTGCCACACTTCTAGTTTGTGAAGTCTAGAACCAGGGGTCATATGTGCGTCAACATGCCCCACTTTTATTGTACAGGAATAGTCTTCTTTCTAGATGTAGTCCCAGACTGCCATGCCTGCCTGCACCACTTTTCCATGAATCATGCAGTTATTGGAAATCCACGTTGGCATTCAAATTGTCAGTCCTTTAAAGACTTCCCATCTATCTCTGTAAAGGTGACATGGGAAGAAGAATCCTCCTAAACAGTCATTGTTACATATAAATCAGGTCTCGGCCATATCTCATGCCAATACAACCTAGTGAGAGCTGCAAGCACTATAGTGAATAACAATCAAAAAACATATACATATATTTAATGTACTGCGCTGAGTATGGTGGAGTCTTGTGGCGTGGTGGTAGATGGAGCTTTGGAAGCACAGTAAAGAGTGCTGCAGATTGCACTGTTCTGCTCTGGCCCTGTGGATTGTGTTTGTTGTTTTTATGCATGCTAGTACTACTTTTTGTGAGTATTTTATTTAATGAAATGTTATCCTTATCATATGGTGTGCACTATGGGATGTCTTTGGTTTTGTCTCCATAAATCTGGACACAGAGATAATTTGCTGCACAAGGATCATGAGGTGGATCAATAATGATTCTCAAGATTGGCGTAGCATCCCACTCATTAATAAAGGGATTAGAGTGGCTAGACCCTTTATTTTAACCACTTGCTGTCCACCCATTGTAAATACATGGGCGGATGCTTCCCGGCGAGTGGATGTGTATTTACGTGATTTTTTTTTTCTCTGCTCGTGCATGTCCTCTAGCGCGCGCAAGCAAAATCCCCAAAAAATCTTTAACAGCCGGTACCGGTCGCTTGTATGATGATAATGTGCATCCCCCCCTTCATCGCCGCTGCTGGTTATCCTGGGCTCCGCTGTCCTCCCTGCGGACCCGGAACTGGCACAGTGGCTCCTTACACTAGCAACGGAGGAGAGATCAGCATTCCCCCACTGCTGATCTCTCCTCCGATGCTTGAAGGCAGATGTGATGTGTATTACATCACTTCTGCATTTAGCTGTCACTTCTCTGGCTGCTATAGCCAGAGAAGAAGCTGGTGAAGCAGAACTCTGCTTCATCAGCTTCTTTGGGGTCCCTAGGTGACATTAGGGGTCTTAGAGACCCCTAATGTCTCCATAAAGAGGACCTGTCATTGTATATTGGCTATTACATAGGGGGGTTGTTAGGGGTATGTGATAACAATAAAGTTAAGTGTAAACTTTACACTTTTAAGTGTAAAAAAAAACATAAGTAAAAAAAAACCACATTGAAGTCACATAAAAAAAGATGTCCCCCACATGCACGCACATATAAACGTAAATACGCGTCGGGCGTGCCTACGTGCGAAAACAAAGATTGTGCCACACATGTTACATATCACCGTGAATGTCAGAGTGTAAGCAATACTTTTAGGGCCATTCATCACTCTTAACACTAAACTGATGAGCGGTAAAAGCTTTTAAAGCGTCGCCTAAGGCCAATTTTAGGTATGGTAGTTTTTTGCTATTTTGCACGCAATTTTAAGGCTTAACATGTTTGGTGTCTAATTACCCAACGTGACCCTGTCTTTTATATCTTACCCAAAAGTTTGGTAAATATAATGTTTCATAACATAACATAACATAGGGAAAACTGTTTGTTTTTTTTCCCCAACATTTTCAATATGTTTTGTACTATATAGGAAAAAAAAAACCCCAATGGTGATTAAATACCACCAAAAGAAAGCTCTATGTGTCCACAAAAAATGGTATAAAATTCACTTCATACAGCATTGCATGACTGAATAAATGTCAGTCAAATTACTGCAGCGCTGAATACTGACAAATGGTCTGGGCAGGAAGGGTTCATCAAATGGTTAAAGTCTTAATAAATGGTGAGCGGTTTTCATGTGGTGCAAATGCAGTGAACACCGGGAGGGATTTAACAGGGATCACATTCGTCTGGATTGTTCACAATCACCAAGTACACAGACTTCTTCTGTATTTATTTTTAGACTGGCAACATGTTTTTGTTGCCAGTCTAAATGTGTATATGTATGGCACATTTGATATACCGTATATACTCAAGTATAAGCCAAGATTTTCAGCCCATTTTTTTGGCTGAAAAGTGCCCCCCTCGGCTTATACTCGAGTCAGCGCCATGTGTCTTCTTACTTACCTCGCCGAGCGTCGCGTCACTGCTGCTCCGGTGTGCGGCGCTCCGAGCAGGGTCATCTGGCAGTCTCCGGGTCCTAATTTAGGTGGCCGGAGACTGCCAGATGACCCCGCTCGGAGCGCCGCCCACCGGAGCAGCAGTGACGCGACGCTCGGCGAGGTAAGACACTGATTCGGGGCAGAAAAACTCGGCTTATACTCGAGTATATACGGTATATTAAAGGCATTTATATAGCACTGACAATTTACACAGTGTTTTACATACTGTACATGATAATATGAAATCAACTGCACTCCATACAGCGTACAGACCTTGATGACAGGTTGGTGTTTGAAGTGATAACACAGACGGCGCCGTGTCAGATACAGTCCATAATAGAAGTCACCAGCACTCGATGTGTGCAAGAAGTAAAG